AATTTGTTTGTCCCCTCCATGCACTGTATTGTAACTGGGAGCGTCATCGCACTGTCAGCATGGTTATTCTTAATTTATATCTATTCAATCAAAATTTTCATTTAGATGCTAACCTAGAACTGGAGCCGAACGCCATAATGATTACGGGCATTATATTGAGTAAAAATTTATATGGATTTTTACGCACAATTGCCACATATATGATGGGGTATAATATAAACCAAATGACTGCAAAACCCAATAGTGCTGTCATCAAAAACCAGCCCAATTGAATTAAAACTGTCCCGGTTAATTTCATTTTGATCGCCTCTTCGCACAGCCAACAAAACATACCGATTGGCATTACTCTGGATAATTTTCAACGATGATAAAATAACTAATATAATTTATACATTTCAAGTCATTTAAAAAATAATTACTTGAGTAAACCCATCATTACATGCATAACAATATCTTTAGTTTTGTGTAATATCTGGCGAACAGTGTTTGCCTTTGAGTCCAATTGCTTGACAGCGAAACCCAGTATTAGTGAGAATACACACAAACCCAACATATTTGGCTTAAAGGCTCGTTCGGACACTTTCTTGTAACCCAGGGTCAGGTTGTGGGGGTCGAGGGCTACCAGTGCTGTGTAGTGAGTTGTAAATGTGGCCGCTATTATGTTATCCGGTATTAGATTTCTATTAATTAAAAAGATATTTTTATTATTAATACTAATAAACATTTATAGCGTAAATAATAAACTAACATAAACATATCGTAAATACTCTCGTCTTGGCTTGAAATCATTTGTTTAATATCGTAATTGTCAATTAACTGTTCAGATTTACTATGATTACCCTCCGACAGGTTCCGCACTCCAGGTTTAATAACACACATTAATATTGTTCCAAATATCGCAGTGGACGTGAAATCATTTGTTTAATATCGTAATTGTCAATTAACTGTTCAGATTTACTATGATTACCCTCCGACAGGTTCCGCACTCCAGGTTTAATAACACACATTAATATTGTTCCAAATATCGCAGTGGACGATGAAAATAGTATTATCAATGTAAATGTCAATACTATCAAACGTTTATTTTCACCATGTTTTGTTGACGATATGCCTTAATAATTTGTGTTATTATAAGTAAATTTATTATATGTGACATATGTTATGTCAATTGTTATACTAGTGGTTAGAGAGGTCACTACCAGTGGCACAATGATCATCATGAATGCTCGGATAAGTATTTTACCCGGAAGTCCAATATATACCAATACAACAGAACTTATGACAAACAGAGACTTTAATATAAATCCAAATATAAGCCCCAAAATAGATGCGACAATAATTAAGATTGAATTGACATTTTCCTTACACCATAGCTGATAATAATTTGAATTTATAATTGTACATAATATAAAGTTCATAAATTGTTTTATATCTTACCTTTAAACTATCTAGCCCCATTGTTAATAAAATGTTTAAAGTAATTTTTATATAATATTATTTAATAAATGAAAACATACAAAAATTTAATAATTTTAAATGTGTAAAGTGTTCAATATTTAATTATTACTGCACTCACTCAGCTAGCTTATTGTCTGTTTAATGTACTGGTTTTAATTTTAGAATAAATTAATTGATGTGATTGATCAAACAGATTGAATAAATATTATAAAATTAATTAAAAACTTGTTTATATAAAGTAGGATGGCGAAATCCGGCTAAGCTGGCAATCGGGATTTGACAATATAAAATGAAAGTACAGTTCATAAGGAGTCCATTGATATAATCTATATGGCCGACCGACCTCGGGATCGGCGGCAGTGACCACTTTTATCAGAAACTTTAAACTTATTAAAAATCAACATATGAAATATGAAATCAATATAGAATTTAACGTAGAACTCATTTATGTTAGTATAATTTATGGGAAACATATAGTTTATGAAATACTTAACAATTAAAACATTAATATTACATTTTTTGTCATTTTGACGTTATTTATTAAATATTTTGCAAAAATTGAATTTTATTCTTAATTTAGTATTAAAATAGAAGAAAATAAATAATAAAAATTATTAGTAATTTTTTAGTAAAAATTCAGGATTTGTAGAAATGAAGCGATCTTTATCTAAAATTGATTTGGTCCATTCGGAGTCTGCCACGAGGGCTCAGATGGTTCCTCAACTTGTTACTGGTGAGGGGGAACATCCCCTGCCCGATCCAAGGGTCGAAAGTGACGCCGATGAACCGGGGGATGAGTGTGAATTTTCACAATTTGAACACGACATCAAATTGTCTTGTCCAGGTTGTGGAAATAATCCTTGCAAGTGTCGTGGGTGGTGGTTTTGTCGTGGGTGGTGTAATAACATATTTTAATAAATTTTAGTAGTTTTACATAAAATGCAAAAAATCCTTTAATTTCACTGATGTGATATTACTATATTCTGATTCTACGTTAAATTCTACATTGATTTCATATATCATATGTTAATTTCAAATATGTTTGTATTTACAAAAATAATGACAACTATTGCCGATTTCGAGGTGGGGTTTTCACCCCTATTCTTTTAATTTCACTTTTAATTTAACATATGTTTAGTAACATAAAGTAAATCGCATTGAATAAACTTTTAACTAAAAATCGCCTACTATACCATAAACGTAACTTTTTTACGGAGGGTTAAATAAAAATTATTTTTTTAGCCAAATTAACATAGAGTCTTCCACATCCTTCTTTATCTTGTTTGTATAATATAAAGACAGCATATGATTAACGATGGCTTGATATGCCTAATTATTTAATTTTAAAAATGTTTATAATAACAACATTAAATAATTAGCTAGTTAACTAATTGCCCTGATATAATTATAACTAATAAGTGTTTTAAATGTAATGTCCTCGTTATGCTGTTCGCACCCTTTCCCTAAATAAAGTGAAATAAAAGTTATTGCAATATAATAAAATGTGGTAATTTAAAGCAGTTGTAGATTTACATTAACCAATCCATTGCCATAATATATGTGAGTACATCCATCGGATTATTTATGCCAATGATAGCGCAATAGGCTATAAATGTGATCAGTGATGACCCACCTCCTGGTGCTCCCGGTAATGACATGGTCATAATAAGCGAGAATATGCTAGAATAAAATTGAAATTTTATATATTAATAAAACATGTTTAAAATATATAGCATTAAAATATAAAGCTAAAATTACAAAGTTTTTGGTAAAAAAAAAGTTCATTGTAAAAATTAATTCCCTTAGAACATTACCATAATGTAACCAACATTTGAACAGTAATGTCCATACCATGCATTTGGGCGACAAATAAAGTAACCATCGGGTAATACATTGCGCTGCCATTCATATTGAGAATCATTGCCAATGGCAATACAAATTGCGATACAAGCTTAGACAATTTGTTTGTCCCCTCCATGCACTGTATTGTAACTGGGAGCGTCATCGCACTGTCAGCATGGTTATTCTTAATTTATATCTATTCAATCAAAATTTTCATTTAGATGCTAACCTAGAACTGGAGCCAAACGCCATAATGATTACCGGCATTATATTGAGTAAAAATTTATATGGATTTTTACGCACAATTGCCACATATATGATGGGGTATAATATAAACCAGATAATTACAAAACCCAATATTGCTGTAACCAAAAACCAGCCTAGTTGAATTATAACTGTCTCGGGTGATTTCATTTTGATCGCCTCTTCGCACAGCCAAAAAAACATACCGATTGGCATTACTCTGGATAATTTTCAACGATGATAAAATAACTAATATAATTTATACATTTCAGGTCATTTAAAAATTAATTACTTGAGTAAACCCATCATTACATGCATAACAATATCTTTAGTTTCGTGTAATATCTGGCAAACAGTGTTTGCCTTTGAGTCCAATTGCTTGACAGCGAAACCCAGTATTAGTGAGAATACACACAAACCCAACATATTTGGCTTAAAGGCCCGTTCGGACACTTTCTTGTAACCCAGGGTCAGGTTGTGAGGGTCGAGGGCTACCAGTGCTGTGTAGTGAGTTGTAAATGTGGCCGCTATTATGTTATCCGGTATTAGATTTCTATTAATTAAAAAGATATTTTTATGATTAATACTAATAAACATTTATAGCGTAAATAATAAACTAACATAAACATATCGTAAATACTCTCGTCTTGGCTTGAAATCATTTGTTTAATATCGTAATTGTCAATTAACTGTTCAGATTTACTAT